GATGGATGGATATAGATATAGAGATATAGATATTTATAGATATTAAACACTTGCTTAGGAAACACAAATGTGAAAAAACATAGGCCAAGGAAAAAAGCCAGGGGTTCGAGGATGGCCAAACAATATAGCAATTAAAATTCAAGAGAGAGAGAGATACATAAAAATAAGTAAATAAATTAGAAAAATAAAATAAATAAGCAGATCACATAACAATATACATAACAATCTTTCCTACAATACATAAAATAATTAATAAATAAAAATTATACAAAAACGGAGATATTCGGCGAGCACTCCGTAGAACAAATCGACGGAAGTACGTCACTTGCCGTCAGTGTCAAGGGTCACGCTCGTCCGTTCTACTTCCTTTTCCCGATCTCGTCGGCCATAGAGCACCATCAGTAAGTTTCATACACGAGAAAATAATCCATGAACATCGATAAAGAAATAAAACCTCCGGGCTTCCTTTCATGCTGCTTATAGAGCAAATATCCCTGTCGACTGGTGAAATGGGTTTTTGTCTGGATATTACGTTTGCATTCGAAGATGATAGGGTTAGAGTTCCCTGCGTCTCCCTACTTCAGACATGATCGCTTTCCTGTCCGTCCACGATAGCATACGTTTATTACTATTACACCTGTGCAATAAACAAATTAATATGTGAGCAAGATCAAATAAAGTACCTTTGTTAAATGACTAAGATATTTATTCCAACGTGAGCGTCTCCATACAGCCGTATAATTGCCAGTTAGCACAATGCTACGTAAAGATCGACCTTGTTTTATAAACGTGCTGCCCAGAAGATACAGCTTACATTTATAGGTTTGTGCTTTTGGGGATAGGCAATATACATGTCATGTACTAATTCATATTTTTCAGACATGGGCAAGTTTATGAAACCTGGTAAGGTGGTGATGGTCCTGGCTGGACGTTATGCCGGACGCAAGGCTGTGATTGTCAAGGTATTTTTAATATTTCACGGTATTCAGGAAAAGAAGGTTGTGTTGAGTGTTTGTGTATTGACAGGGTTGTGCTCTCTTTCTCCATTCAGAACATTGATGATGGCACCTCAGACCGTCCTTACAGCCATGCTCTGGTCGCAGGCATTGACCGCTATCCTCGTAAAGTCACCACAACCATGGGCAAGAAGAAGATTGCCAAGAGGTCCAAGATCAAGGCCTTTGTGAAAGTGTTCAACTACAACCACCTGATGCCAACCAGGTATGTAGACCCTGAACAGTCAGAGAGACGTCTGTGCACGTTCATACAGCTTCTGTATCAGAATTGACAGATGTTTGCAGAGTTAGGCTGATGATACACTGGGGCAACTTTTTGAGCAATGTTGCTGGGCAAGGGCAACCAGGTGAAACACACAGGGCCCACGACCGATCTAAAGTATCCAGATAAAAATTTGTTACCCATTCTCAATGGGAAA